AACCTACAAAACTGCACTGTATGCTTGCCATGTCCGCATTATTTACGCCTTTCGGCTTGTATGGCGATTTGTCAATCACGACATAAGGACGTTGTCCGTCTTTCTCAAGTGGACACGCCGCGGCGAAATCCTTTAGAAACAACTCGCGATTCGGGCACCACGGCTCCGCTATTTTAGACTCATTGTCGATTTGCTCATGATCGAGCTTGTCCAACTTCGATTGTATCATTAAATGCATTTTACGCACAATTTTTATGTTCTTATTGGCTGGCGTTCCTTCAATCCAAGGTTCTCCGTTGTACCAGCTATTAATTCGTTGCATGGTCGAGATATACCTTGCAAATTACAATATCATGAACAATTTTTAAAAAAGTACTCATTAATTGATATTATTATGCCACAAAATTATATAATATAAATTATGTAATAAATATAATGTGACTGTTAAAAGCAATCATTAATTCAGCTAATATGGATCTTGTTATTGAGTTATCTTATCTTTTTGTACGGATTAAAGTACTCGATGCAAAGTATCATCAGTATTTAATTAAATATTAAATTAAAAATATACCTTTTAAACCCTAAATATGGCGTATGAGAGCCCTTTGATATGATCATTGGTTTTAAAATCTCATTGAAAGAATACACATTTATAATGTCCAGTAAATTGGCAACTAGAAGTGACCCAAAATTTTCACGTACAAATGTCTGCCCTTTGCGGTATTTATCCATATCCAACCATTTGGGTATCTGCGCCGGTGTCCAATTGTAATCTCCTTGGCGAAAAGAGGCCGGAATATAATCTAATAATTAATGATTTTGGTACGTTCGGAAAGAATGTGGCGATGTTATCGTTTATCCACACGCATTGCTTTTGTACAGTCCATATGTCGAAATTGTTTGGAAATAATTCTCGATCAAATGTGCTCTTAAAAAATTTCACATATTTACATTGATTTGGACTTTTCAAACTGTCTTCAGAATTTGTAGACACGATGTTAAGATCCGTCATACTTTACAAAATGAATTTTGATTAAGCAATTGAACAGTGTAGTTACGAGATAACATTCGAACTGCATATTTATCATTCGATGCTCCTATTTATCGCGTTTCTGCCGATAAACTCGGCTGAAAATGTTAAGATTTCTACAACAGACTAATAATTATTTTTGACGCATTTATATAAAATGGTTATAAGAATCACAATAGTACTCTGGATATGACTTATGTTTGTTCCAATCTTATACTGTTATTCTGTCTTAAAGCTAATGGCACTTAAAATCTTTATCAGCATGAAAATCATATATTACGACAGAATTATGTTCGATTATCAGTTGATGCCCTTATCAGTCGTCTTCTTGCTACTTATTTCTCTAACGATGAGCTATTTAAGACTAGTTATATAAGATAGCTCAATATCACAAAATTTATATTAGCTGAATCGCTGATTGCTTTTAACAGAATTGGTAGCTTTGCAAGATTCCTTAACCCTTTGTGTCACAAATTTTTGTATCAGACTGATTTTTTTAAAACTTTGTACTCGGTAGTTTTTCAGATCGCTATCTATAAAGAGTGTACATCTTACGTTAGCTAGATTGTTTGGTGACTTGTTGTAAAGTGACTACTGGCAAAAGAGAGAAATAGACATTAACTATTAAAGTCGGGCGAGAAGTATATTTCTTTCTAGCATTGAGTAATTTTCTTTCGAGATGTTATTTACCGATTGTGAGATTCTAATTATTTAGAACAAGAGCGTGAAAAGATACTTTAAAACATGTGATAAAATTTCTGCAAACCAATTTTTGTTTTCTACAATATTTATTTAAGTTCAATCATTTGGATAATTCTACAAAGAAATAATAAAATTTATTTTGTAATTAGCGGAAGAAAAATTGATAGAAATTACATTCAGATTATAAATAAGAATGTTTAAGTAAAAAAATTTATTAGAAATAATTGTTCTCTCTTCACATTATACTTTAACGTAAAATAAAAATATTGAATAAGATACTCAAAATAAAGCAATGTAAATTTTAAAATGCTACAAAAATAAATATTTCTCACACATATAATGGCACAATTATATTCAATTCGTAAAGAGATATACTTATATATTACTCAAAATATCAAGACTCATTGTGGAACGATTAAGTATAGTAGAGGGAGACTACATCATGTACGAACTGGCTACCCAACGATTGTAACATAGTATAAGGAGTAGGCATCCAACGTCGACAGTTGCAACTGAGAACTTGTGGAATACACCTCGCGAACACAGGATTCGCTCATTCTCTAAAGTGAAAGGCAACTTTCTTACGCTCATAACCTTGTTAGCAGCGCGAGATCAGTCAACACATAAAACTGAAGTGCGCAATGTTATAATCGGTCATGTACCACTGATAAAGTACTCAACGATCATCGTGTATTATGTACATCCGCTATCTTGTACGCGCGGTGTAAACGCCGGCTCGTTCAATTACTCAATTGCGACGGCGGACGGATAATTTTACAAAGTGTTTCGGCAAGATGCTGGGAGCGAACGATAAAAATGACGCAGCGAGGATGCTGGACGGCGACTGTAAGATCCATGTGCAGGAATCCGAAAAGTTGTTGGAACCCGAGAAGTCGCGAACCTCGCAAATGTACATCGAATTCAATGATCTTTGTTATTCGGTTCGTCTCAATCGCAAAGGTCAGCTATTTTATTTCGTCGTTCTACATACTTAAATGAAACTCGCGTACTGTTCGATACCCTGTATCTTGTTCGTATACACTTCGCAATTTTCAAACAGTTTCAGATAATTTCGCAGGAGATAACGATTGGTCTAATCATTCGATTACGTTGCATACACTGTACTTTACTCTTCGATTTGCGCATCAGACACATTGGTCAATGATCGAATGTTCCATGCATTGATATTACGGATATAGATTTTCTCAATCATTAATTAGCGAACTGTTAAAAGTTTCTCCCATAAAAAATTAAAAGTATAAATAATATTTAACGTTATAAGAGTTTTTTTGCACACATTACCTATATCGCAACTTTTAACAAAAATTACCTAAGATAAATATTATTTAAAATGTGCTGTGTGTATATTGCAGTTATATATATGTATGTATATATATATATATATACATATATATATATATATACACATATATATATATATATACACATATATATATATATACATATTTATTTATTTATATATACATATATATAACTTCAAAAGGTATACACACAGTTTCAGATAATTTTTACTCACTTTAATACTCAAAGGCATGATCAGCTTTGAATGAAGACGTATTTGACACATCTAAAATCTCGAAATTTGTATTCTACCACCGCCTAACAAAAAAATTGGTGAAAATAATCATTGGTGCCATCTCAAAGTACGGACTTTGCTCTTTTAAATAAAAAAAATTTTTTTTGAGCCGTTTATTTAGCATGATATTACAATTTCAAGTAACCTTTGTTTTTTTTAACGATTTTAGCACGATCTCTAAATTTTGTACACTTTCCAACACCGCGCGTGGCTTTCCTGTCACAATCAAACATGATACAAGCACAGCTGTCCTTGTCTCCTCTCCACAATGGTTCACACGATTAAGTTATTTTTATTTCATGTAATCTCTGTTTTTTTACGATTTTAGCACGATATATCGTAAAAAAATAGAGGCTGATAATACTTGAAATTGCAATATTTTGCAATCTAAATAATTAGCGTAGAAAAAAGTTTTTTTTTTTATTTAAAAGCGCAAAGTCCGTACTTTAAGATAATACCAATGATTATTTTCGCCAATATTTTATTAGGTGGTAGAAGATCACAAATTTCGAGATTTTTTATGTGTCAAATACATCTTCATTCTCAAGCTGATCACATCTTTGAGTATTAAACTGAGTAAAAATTGAACAAAGGCATCTTATAGTAGAGAATTTGCGATATATAAAATCCTTTTTTAATTTATTTTTTACGTCAATTATTCGCTGAGTAACTAAAGTTTAAAAATGGGCAAAAATTTAATGAGAAAAAGTGATCCCCAAATTTTTTGGACTAATGTATATAAGACATATAAGAGTTATTCAGAATCACGAAGAAAAAGAAAACAATTAATTTTTATTAATTCACGCAAAAGAATAAGAAAATATTAAAAGTTGTAGTTCAGCCGTTTGTTCTAAAATTACGGAGATTCAATTCATCTACGCCACTGTACGATTTCCGTTTCTAGTCACTTATCTCCAGTTATTTTCAGGGACACAGAAAAATAGCACAATAAATTACAACCCAATAAAATAAATAATTAAATTCAACTATACGTACTAACGTTCATATCTGCATCTATATTGTTTTAATCAATATAACAAAATTTTACATACAATTGCATATATTAATCAACAAATTTTTAAAACATGTACAAGTGATTTAAGATATTTTTATCCTAAATAGAGCCTGATTTCTAAACAAGCCTAATCTAATAATAATACTATAATTATACTAAATCTTGCGTGTTTAGAAAAGCCCTATATATCCTTATAAATACTAAGAACAATTGAATAATGAATATCTTTCTATAAATTCATTAAAAATAATGATAAATTATTTGTAAGAAAAAAGTTGGTTTTATCACAAAAACGCGAATTTAATAATTAGCTGTCTTAACAAGATTCTTTCCTTTAACGTTCATTTTTTCCACTGTTTTTTAGGCCGTCTTTATAGCATTGATTTGCATTTCAAAACTGTTTCTATTGACATAACAAAAAAATATCTTTTTTTAAAATAAAGTTAAAATATCATTATAAATTACAATATGCTATGAAGCTCTTGTTTTTATTACAAAGCTTATTAATTATATGTCACAACATAAAACATTCAAAAATTAATTGTCTTCTTTATAAAAATTTTAATAAACATAAGTTATGTAGTTTATGTGTTTTTATTTTGATCTTAAAATTTTCAAATTTGAGAAAGCAACAAAATATTCTCTAGATATTATATATTTACAAACATTCTTCTGTTTTATCAATTACGATTAATATCTCATTTTTAACATATATACATATATACATCATAAATACATTGCAATCGCGTATGCAATATTTCCTAAGAAATTTTTATGATTTCAGCAACAGAATCTCAGCAAACACGTTCATCTGCAATTGTAATTTATAATAATTAATGCATATCTTTCCTGTTGTTGCTTGGAATTTTCCTAATAATTATCATCACATCACTTTATCTTACATGTAATTATATACATACAAAGCTAATATAAATTAAAATATTACATAATTGCAAAAATATGAGATTTATATAAAACTATGTACATACTATATAACATATAATATGTACTACAGTTATTAAATTACAAAGATTATATAAAATGCACCGCACTTGAATGTTTTATACTGCAACATATAATTAATAAACGTTTTATACTGAAAACAAAAATTTTATAGCATATCGTAACTGCAACTTATAATGATATTTCAATTTTATTCTTAAAATGTTAATGTCAACAGAAACCAATTTGGAATGCAAATCAATTTCCTTGTCCTTTCTTCTCGGTAAATTTAGATGTGCAGAATTGAAAGATTATCTTAATGCGCTACTGATGTTGCGTTTTTTGTATAGACATTTCGTCTAGACATAGTTAAAGAAAAAACATTTATTTTAGGAACTGAGAAAACGATTCTACACGATGTAACGGGGCACTTTGAATCTGGGAAATTCACGGTAATAATTGGTCCTTCCGGTGCGGGAAAGACCACTCTGTTGAAAATCGTGTCAGGTAAACGACTGATGGATGTTAAAGGCATCATCACTGTAAACGGCGTTGAACGAAATAGAGGGATGTTCCGCAAACAGGTGTGCTACGTGCCACAACAATTCGATCTACTGCCGTTTCTCACAACGCGAGAAACTCTCCATATAGCGGCACGATTGAAACTCAACGTTAAACAGAATGAAGAAATTCGTTTAGTTGTAAGTAAAATATAATTACAAGAGAAACATTTTAATGTGTTATATATACACAATTAGATATTATTGACATATTATTGTATATACATATTATTAACATATAATTGTATATACATATTATATTATTGATTTATTAATATATTTCATATATTTTACGGATCGAGAGAGTTTTATTTTTAAATTTATCCTGAAAATCATGTTAATCGTAGGACAACATAGTATTTCGATAAATTTTATGTGATTTTCACATATTTTTTAAAATATAGACTACAATAAATTTATTATAATGCACAGTAAAAAACAGAGAAAATCACATAAAGTTTGCCAAAATACTATATGTTGTCCCACGATTAACATGATGTTTAGGGTAAATCTTAAAAGGAAATCTTCTGTTATACAAAATGTATTAAATAATAAATATATAGAATAATTATATACAAATACATTATATGTATATAATTATATTGTATATATTATACATTATTACTTCTACTAATACTTATAGCGAACTTGGTTGGATGCTCTGGTGCACACCAATGCACATTAAACCGTCGTACACAATAATATTTAATATAAATATATAAATGGATTAAACTAAAAAATTCTTAATATATTTTATTAAGCTATTTGGTAAAATATATATTTTATTATTCAATATTTGTGTTTCTCTTTTATACAATTAGAATATTTAAGTCATTGTATAATACTTCAATATATACAGTGCAATCAACTGAATTTGTTATTATAAACTTGCTATTAGTTTGCTAGGCGAACAAGATAATATATAAATTGACGCATCGCATATATCAGATATTATTTCTGTTAAGATAAATGATATTGCAAAAAATCTTGGCTTGACAAACTGCCTGGACACATTGGCAAACAAATTAAGCGGTGGCGAACGGAAAAGACTCTCTATCGGCGTGGAAATGATCACGAAGCCATCCGTTCTCTTATTAGACGAGCCAACAAGCGGTCTCGACAGTGTGGCCTCTAATCAGGTACGTAAATTATTAGTGCAGCTGTACATAAATAACGATAATCGTTTTTACAAAAGTAATATTCCATATTAACTTTCAGAAATCAATCTTTATCGCTTTTGTTATATTCTGCTAAGAATTCTCTATAAATGTAGAACACACCAGCAACATTGTAGTAACATTGCAAAGTAGCTGGAATGTATGATGTATTGTTTTACAATATCATTTAATTTTAACCTACTCCTAATATGCTCAGAACATACGATTTGCACTGACTAGCTTGTCAACATGCTGCACAATATGGCAAGAGCGAACTGCACTGTGGTTTGTGCGATACATCAACCCAACAGTCAGATGATTTCGCTCTTCGATGACATTATGGTACTTAATCGAGGCAGATGTATGTACTGCGGTCCAAAGAGCGAGATCTTGAACGTATACAGCATTGCCGGATTCACGTGTCCCAGCTTCTACAACATAGCCGAATTTGGTAATATTAATTCTACTAATCCGATCTGATAAAAGAATTACGAGAAAATAGAAGAATTAAAAAAAAGATTATCGACATTGACTAGAGCTGTACGCATTTTCCTTAAATGTTTTTTTTCATAATTACAGAATAGATTTCTTCTCATTAATTTTAAAATGTAAATTTTTTAAATTTATTAAATAGATACATTTTGTAAAATTAATTTTGAAAAATAGTAAATTAATTAAGTTAATTTTTAGTATTTTAACAAGCATTACAAGAATTATGAATATTTATGTAATAATATTATTTTAATATTTTATTAATTTAATTTAAACGAAGGAAATGTACTCTTAAGAAAAAAATATTTGTCAAAATATCAAAGTTTACCATAAAAAGAAAGAGTATTGCGTCACATAAAAATTTATTAAATCATAATGAATACATTTTAATACGCCGCCGAGTTTTAAACTTATTTAAGAAATTTAGAAATTAAATGTGTAACGTAATAATGTATTTAGAAATTAAAATGTTTTAAAAATAATACATAATTAAAAAACAAAGAAAATCGATATTGATAGTGATTTTCTAATTACAGTGCTTGAGGTAATAACCGAGCAGAGGGGTGGAGACTTAGAAAATCTGTACAAGATCTGTCGTGA